CAAGCCAAAAAGGCTCTGGTATGTATATTTGAACATGGGCCACTCGAATATGCAATAAACTTCAGATTATTGAATGCTTTTCCATATGCCTGTAGAGATTCACACGCTTTCTAGACACTTGGCGTAAAAAACGGCCGAAATCGTAGTCGCCGAAATTTTTTTCGCGTAAGAACCAAGCCGAAAAGGCTCTGGTATGTGTATTTGAACATGGGCCACTCGAATATGCAATAAAATTCAGGTTGTTGAATGCTTTTCCCTATGCCTATAGGGATTCACGCGCTTTCTAGGCACTTGGCGGCAAAAACGGCCGAAATAGTAGGCGCCGAACTTTTCTTCGCGCAAAAACCAAGCCAAAAAGGCTCTGGTATGTGTATTTGAACATGGGCCACTTGAATATGCAATAAAATTCAGGTTGTTGAATGCTTTTCCCTACGCCTATAGGGATTCACGCGCTTTCTAGGCACTTGGCGGCAAAAACGGCCGAAATCGTAGGCGCCGAACTTTTCTTCGCGCAAGAACCAAGCCGAAAAGGCTCTGGTATGTGTATTTGAACATGGACCACTCGAATATGCAATAAAATTCAGGTTGTTGAATGCTTTTCCTTATGCCTATAGGGATTAACGCGCTTTCTAGGCACTTGTCTAGGCCTCTTGCCAATCCAGCAAGGGCGTGGAAGGGTTGCTAGCATCATTGGTCATCGGCCCTTGAGAATGAAGAGCGCTCGCTGCACTTCCATCAAATGTGCATATCCTAGCGCGTTTTGAGGCTAGAAGCGCTCGCAGTGAGCGTTTTTCTTCCACCAGGTCACGTGGCTGTGCTTGTCTAAGCCTCTTGCCAAGCCAGCAAGGGCGTGGAAGGGTTGCTAGCATCATTGGTCATCGGCCCTTGAGAATGAAGAGCGCCCGCTGCACTTCCTCCACATGTGTGGATCCTAGCGCGTTTTGAGGCTAGAATCGCTCGCAGTGAGCGTTTTTCTTCTACCAGGCCACGTGGCTGCGCTTTTCTTGGCCTCTTGTCAAGCCAGCAAGGGCGTGGAAGGGTTGCGAGCATCATTGGCCATCGGCCCTTGAGAATGAAGAGCGCCCGCTGCGCTTCCTGCACATGTGCGGATCCTAGCACGTTTTGAGGCTAAAAGCTCTCGCAGTGAGCGTTTTTCTTCTACCATGTCACGTGGCTACGCTTGTCTAGGCCTCTTGCCAAGTCAGCAAGGGCGTGGAAGGGTTGCTAGCATCATTGGTCATCGGCCCTTGAGAATGAAGAGCGCCCGCTGCACTTCCTCCACATGTGCGGATCCTAGCGAGTTTTGAGGCTAGAAGCGCTCGTTCTGAGCGTTTTTCTTCTACCAGGTCACGTGGCTGCGCTTGTCTAGGCCTCTTGCCAAGCCATCAAGGGCGTGGAAGGGTTGCGAGCATCGTTGGTCATCGGCCCTTGAGAATGAAGAGGGCCGAAAAGGCTCTGGTATGTGTATTTGAACATGGGCCACTCGAATATGCAGTAAAATTCAGCATGTTGAATGTTTTTTCCTACACCAACAGGGATCCACGCGCTTTCTAGGCACTTGGCGGCAAAAACGGCCGAAATCGTAGGCGCCGAACTTTTCTTCGTGCAAGAACCAAGCTGAAAAGGCTCTAGTATGTGTATTTGAATATGGGCCACTCCAAAATGCAATACAATTCAGGTTGTTGAATGCTTTTCCATACGCCTATAGGGATTTACGCGCTTTCTAGGCACTTGGCGGCAAAAACGGCCGAAATCGTAGGCGCCGAACTTTTCTTCGTGCAAGAACCAAGCCGAAAAGGCTCTGGTATGTGTATTTGAACATGGGCCACTCGAATATGCAATGAAATTTAGGTTATTAAATGCTTTTCCCTACACCTATAGGGATTTACGCGCTTTTTATGCACTTTGTGGCAAAAACGGCCAAAATCGTAGGCGCCGAACTTTTCTTCGCACAAGAACCAAGCCGAAAAGGCTCTAGTATGTATATGTTTTTTAACATGGGCCACGTCAATATGCAATACAATTCAGGTTGTTGAATGCTTTCCCTAAATGAATTCACGCGCTTTCTAGGCACTTGGCGGCAAAAACGGCCAAAATCGTAGGCGCCGAACTTTTCTTCGCGCAAGAACCAAGCCGAAAAGGCTTTAGTATGTGTATTTGAACATGGGCCACTCGAATATGCAGTATAATTCAGGTTGATGAATGCCTTTCCCTACGTCTACAGAGATTCACGTGCTTTTGAAGGCACTTGGCGGCAAAAACGACCGAAATCGTAGGCGCCGAACTTTTCTTCGAGCAAGAACCAAGCCGACAAGGCGCTGGTATGTGTATTTGAATATGGGCCACTCGAATATGCAAACAAATTCAGGCTGTTGAATGCTTTTCCCTACACCTATAGGGATTCACGCGCTTTCTAGGCACTTGGCGGCAAAAACGGCCGAAATCGTAGGCGCCGAACTTTTCTTCGCGCAAGAACCAAGCCGAAAAGGCTCTGGTATGTGTAATTAAATATGGACCACTCCAATATGCAATAAAATTCAGGTTGTTGAATGTTTTTCCCTACGCCTATAGGGATTCACGTGCTTTCTAGGCACTTGGCGGCAAAAACGGCCGAAATCGTAGGCGCCGAACTTTTCTTCGCGCAAGAACCAAGCCAAAAAGGCTCTGGTATGTGTATTTGAACATGGGCCACTCGAATATGCAATAAAATTCAGGTTGTTGAATGCTTTTCCCTATGCCTATAGGGATTCACGCGCTTTCTAGGCACTTGGCGACAAAAACGGCCGAAATCGTAGGCGCCGAACTTTTCTTCGAGCAAGAACCAAGCCGAAAAAGTTTTAGTATGTGTATTTGAACATGGGCCAGTCAAATATGCAACAAATTCAGGTTGTTGAATGCTTTTCCATACGCCTATAGGAATTCACGCGCTTTCTAGGCACTTGGTGGCAAAAACGGCCGAAATCGTAGGCGCCGAACTTTTCTTCGCGCAAGAACCAAGCCGAAAAGGCTCTGGTATGTGTATTTGAACATGGGCCACTCAAATATGCAATCAATTGCATCTTGTTGAATGTTTTTCCCTACATTCACGCGCTTTCTAGGCACTTGGCGGCAAAAAACGGCCGAAATCGTAGGCGCCAAACTTTTCTTCGCGCAAGAACCAAGCCGAAAAGGCTCTAGTATGTGTATTTAAACATGGGCCACTCGAATATGCAATAATATTCAGGTTGTTGAATGCTTTTCCTTACGCCTATAGGGATTCACACGCTTTCTAGGCACTTGGTTGCAAAAACGGTCAAAATCGTAGGCGCCAAACTTTTCTTCGCACAAGAACCAAGCCAAAAAGGCTCTGGTATGTATATTTGAACATGGGCCACTCGAATATGCAATAAACTTCAGATTATTGAATGCTTTTCCATATGCCTGTAGAGATTCACACTCTTTCTAGACACTTGGCGTAAAAAACGGCCGAAATCGTAGTCGCCAAAATTTTTTTCGCGTAAGAACCAAGCCAAATAGGCTCTGGTATGTGTATTTGAACATGGGCCACTCAAATATGCAATAAAATTCAGGTTGTTGAATGCGTTTCCCTACGCCTATAGGGATTCACGCGCTTTCTAGGCACTTGGTGGCAAAAACGGCCGAAATCGTAGGCGCCGAACTTTTCTTCGCGCAAGAACCAAGCCGAAAAGGCTCTGGTATGTGTATTTGAACATGGGCCACTCGAATATGCAATAAAATTCAGGTTGTTGAATGCTTTTCCCTACGCCTATAGGGATTCACGCGCTTTCTAGGCACTTGGCGGCAAAAAACGGCCGAAATAGTAGGCGCCGAACTTTTCTTCGCGCAAAAACCAAGCCAAAAAGGCTCTGGTATGTGTATTTGAACATGGGCCACTTGAATATGCAATAAAATTCAGGTTGTTGAATGCTTTTCCCTACGCCTATAGGGATTCACGCGCTTTCTAGGCACTTGGCGGCAAAAACGGCCGAAATCGTAGGCGCCGAACTTTTCTTCTCGCAAGAACCAAGCCAAAAAGGCTCTGGTATGTGTATTTGAACATGGGCCACTTGAATATGCAATAAAATTCAGGTTGTTGAATGCTTTTCCTTATGCCTATAGGGATTAACGCGCTTTCTAGGCACTTGGCGGCAAAAACGGCCAAAATCGTAGGCGCCGAACTTTTCTTCGCGCAAGAACCAAGCCGAAAAGGTTTTGGTATGTGTATTTCAACATGGGTCACATGAATATGCAATTAAATTCAGGTGATTGAATGCCTTTCTCTACGCCTACAGAGATTCACGTGCTTTCTAGGCACTTGGCGGCAAAGACGAATGAAATCGTAAGCGCCGAACTTTTCTTCGCGCAAGAACCAAGCCGAAAAGGCTCTGGTATGTGTATTTAAATATGGGTCACTCCAATATGCAATTAAATTCAGGTTGCTGAATGCTTTTTCATACGCCTATAGGGATTCACGCGCTTTCTAGGCACTTGGCGGCAAAAACGGCCGAAATCGTAGGTGCCGAACTTTTCTTCGCGCAAGAACCAAGCCAAAAAGGCTCTGATATGTTTATTTGAACATGGGCCACTTGGATATGCAATAAAATTCATGTTATTGAATGCTTTTCTTTACGCCTATAGGGATTACGTGTTTTTTAGGCACTTGGCGGCAAAAACGGCCGAAATCGTAGGCGCCGAACTTTTCTTCGCGCAAGAACCAAGTCGAAAAGGCTCTAGTATGTGTATTTGAATATGGGCCAATCCAATATGCAATAAAAATCAGGTTAATGAATGCTTTTTCATACGCGAATAGGGATTCAAACGCTTTCTAGGCACTTGGCGGCAAAAACGGTCGAAATCGTAGGCGCCGAACTATCCTTCGCGCATTAACCAAGCCAAAAAGGCTCTGGTATGTGTATTTGAACATGGGCCACTCGAATATGCAATAGAATTCAAGTTATTGAATGCTGTTCCCTACGCCTATAGGGATTTACGCGCTTTCTATGCACTTGGCGGCAAAAACGGCCGAAATCGTAGGCGCCGAACTTTTTTTCGCGCAAGAACCAAGCCGAAAAGGCTCTGGTATGTGTATTTGAATATGGGCCACTCGAATATGCAATAAAATTCAGGTTGGCATTAAATGCTTTTTCATTTTTCTATAGGGATTCACGCGCTTTCTAGGCACTTGGCAGCAAAAACGGCCGAAATCGTAGGCGCCAAACTATTTTTCAAGTATTAACCAAGCCGAAAGGCTCTGGTATGTGTATTTGAACATGGGACACTCGAATATGCAATAAAATTCAGGTTGTTGAATATTTGTCCCTACGCCTATAGGGATTCACGCGCTTTCTAGGCACATCGCGACAAAAACGGCCGAAATCGTAGGCGCCGAACTTTTCTTCACGCAAGAACCAAGCCGAAAAGGCTCTAGTATGTGTCAAATTATATGTTTCATATTATTTAGTTCTAGGTTGTGTAGGGGTGATTCTTAGAGGGTACAACAATTCTCTCGATACTCTTGTACCCCCCTCCCCTAACCTAATCGACATACTTTCCTCTCTAGTCTTGACATGGTATAGAGCAGGAAGTTTCCTAGGGCCCACCACGGAAAACGAATTTTTTTTCCTGCCCGGAGCGCGCTTCGCGCCTACCCTAGTCGCGCCCCGTGCGCCTGTCCCTAACGGCCCGTCGCGGCCCCTCTCTTAAGGTCCTCTCGCGGCCCCTCGTTGGCCCCTCGCGACCCCCGCTTAAGGCCCCTTAGTTGCCCCCCTTTTCGCGGCCTCGTCGCCCTCCCCCCCCGCGCGGCTCTGTCGCCGCCCTTTCGCGACCTCGTCGCCGCCCCTACGCGGCTTCGTCGTCGCCCCTACGCGGCCTCGTCGCCGCCCATACGCGACTCCGTCGCCGCCCTCCCCTTCGCGGCTCTGTTGCCGCCTCTTCGCGGCTTCGTCGCCGCCCCTCGCCGCCCTTCGCGGCCCCTCCAGGACCCGTCGCGGTCCCCTTCCCTCTCGTCTGCAGCAGCTGTCTCCGCTGGGCCTGCAGCAGCTACCGCCGCTGACCTTCAGCAGCTGCCGCCGCAGAGCCTACAGCAGCAGCCGCGGCCGGACCTGCAGTAGCAGCCACCGCCGAGCCAGCAGCAGCAGCCGCGGTCGGACCTGCAGTAGCAGCCGCCGCCAGACCTGCAGCAGCTGCCGCGGCCCAGCCTACAGCAGCAGCCGCCGCCGGACCTGCAGCAGCTGCCGCCGCCGAGCCTGCAGCAACAGCCGCGGCAGAGCCTGCAGTCGCAGCCGCCGCCAGACCTACAGCAGCGGCCGCCGCCGACCCTGCAGCAGCAGCTGCCGCCGACCCTGCAGCAGCTGCCGCCGCCGACCCTGCAGCAGCTGCCGTCGCCGAGCCAGCAGCAGCAGCCGCCGCCGGACCTGCAGCAGCTGCCGCCGCCGAGCCTGCAGCAGCAGCCGCCATTCGAGAATACAATAGCAGCCGCCGCCGTCCCTGCAGCAGCGGCCGTTCCCGAGCCTTCAGCAGCTGCCACAGCCGTCACGACTGCCCCGGCCCTGCCCTGCTAGAGCCGCACTGCCCTGCCCTACCGCGCTACTGCTGCTGCTGTCACTGCTACTGACACTACTACTGTTCCTCCTACTGCTACTATGGCTAGCCCTCCTGTGCTAGCCTTCGATGCTGAGGGCCGCCCAGTGAAGTTTGACACCTGGCTCGATGACCTGCACCTCTTCCTACAGCTCACTGCCAAGGAGGACATTTCACTGTACGATCACGCCCTAGGCCATGCTACTGCCCCTGACACTACTGCTGACAGCACTCTGCGCTCCCAGTGGCAGACCCGTGACGCGCACGCTCGCTTCGCTATTCGCAACTCCCTACCGCTAGATGAGCGCGAGCACTTCGGCCAGTGCAAGACTGCTAAGGAACTGTACACAGCCGTAGTTGCTCGTTACTCCTCACCTGCGTCTGCCGCACTAGGCCGCCTCTCACTGCCCTACCTGTTCCCCGACCTGGCCTCCTTTCACACTGTTGCTGACCTCATCACCCACCTCAAGACTAGTGAGGCCCGCTTTCGCGCTGCTATGCCTGCCGAGTTCCTTGCTAGCAACCCCCCCCCGCTCTGGCTCACTCTCTACCACATTGTCACCCGCCTCCCTGACTCTCTGCGCACAGTCAGGGATTCCTTTCTAGCTCGCTCCCCTACTGAGCTCACCATTGCCCTCCTCGAGAAGGACCTACTTGCAGCTGAGGCGAGCATCGTCGCCGTAGGTGCCTCTCGTGGCGAGCCCCGCACCCCCTTCTTTGAGGGGTGTTCCCCTTCCCCCCTTCTCCCCTCTGTCGCCTCTGCTTCTGCTGTCGACCTCCTTGGTGCTGAGAAGGTCGGGACCGCGTCTGCTCCGAGCGGGCGCCGCAGGACCAAAGGAGGCAAGGGTGGAGGAGGCGGCCGGGGAGGCGGGGGTGGAGGCGGTGGGAGTGGAGGAGGGGCTGGAGAGACTAGTGGCGGCAGTGGGGGTAGTGACGGCAGCGGCGGAGGCGGTGGCAGGGGCGGGGGCGGCAGCGGGGGCGGCGGTGGTCGTGGCAGCGGCAGGGGAGGGGGTGGTCGAGGAGGTGGCAGCGGCGGTGGTGGTCGTGGAGGCGCTGGCAGTGGTCCGAGCCAGCAGCACACTCCGTCGCTCCAGGAGGCCCGTGAGTGGTATGCGCAGCGTGGGGGGGCGGGTGGCCTTAGCTGCACGTACGTCATCCGCACTGGTGACCGCACTGGTCAGACGTGTGGGAAGCCGCACCCCACGCCGCGCTGTTTCGCGCGCCTTGACGACGCTTGGCGCACTCAGTTCCCTGACGGCAATGAGCTGCCCCGCTGGTTTGATCTGGAGAAGAAGGGAGTTGATATCTGGGCTTTAGACTTTGATGCTATTCTCACTGCCATGTATGCTATGTTTACTAGTGGAGAGGGTGCTCAGTACTTGCGTGTTCCGCCCGACCCGGGCATTCTGACCAGTGAGGCTGCTGCTCTAGGTGCTAGTGCGTCTGCAGCTCCAGGTGCTCGCGTGTCTGCTACCCCAGGTGATGGTGAGGCTGCCGCTCTAGGTGCTGGTGAGTCTGTCTCCCCTGGTACTGAGTCGACTGAGGCACTGCACACCTTCACACTGGACTCAGGTGCTTCTCGCTGTTTCTTTCGAGACCGCACTGCCCTTGAGCCACTCGCTCGGCCAGTTGCTGTCTCCCTCGCTGACCCCTCTGGGGGTCCGGTCATTGCGACCTCCTCCACTGTTCTTCCCTGTCCTGCGGTCCCGTCTGGCACACTGTCTGGTCTCTACCTCCCCTCGTTCTCTACGAACTTGGTGGCGGGTCGTGCGCTCCAGGACGGGGGTGTTCACCAGTTCACCCCTGCCTACGAGCGCGTGACACACTGCACGTGTGCTCGGACGGGCCGTCACCTGGCTACCTTCACTCGGGAGCCGGGGTCGGACCTGTACACACTGACCACTGAGTCCCCTCAGGTAGCTGCGTCTGCGTCTGCGTCTGCGTCAGGTCAGTTGTCCGCCCCCTGCTCGTGTCGCTCTCTGGCGCATGAGACTGTCCTCTGGCACCACCGCCTTGGTCACCCGTCTGTGCAGCGCCTTCGGGCCATGCACAAACGGGACCTTGTTGCTGGTCTTCCCAGGGTTCTCCCTCCCCTCCCACCCTCGCCGGCTCCTCCCTGTCTTCCCTGTGTCGAGGGGCGGCAGCGCGCCGCTCCTCACTCCTCCTCCTTTCCCCCGACGACTGCTCCTTTGCAGACGCTCCACTTGGACGTGTGGGGCCCAGCCCGCGTCCGTGGACAGGGTCAGGAGAGGTACTTCCTGATTGTTGTTGACGACTTCTCGCGCTACACCACGGTCTTCCCCTTGCGCGCCAAGGGTGACGTCCCTGATGTCTTGATCCCTTGGATCCGCAGATCTCGTCTCCAGCTCAGCAAGCGTTTCCACTCCGACTTTCCTGTCCTGCGTCTGCACTCTGACAGAGGTGGGGAGTTTTCCTCCGGCCTCTTGGAGGCCTTCTGTCAGCAGGAGGGCATTGAGCAGTCGTTCACGCTTCCGGCCTCTCCACAGCAGAATGGGGTTGCTGAGCGCCGCATTGGTCTAGTCATGGAGGTCGCTCGTACCTCCTTGAGTCATGCGGCTGCCCCCCATTTTCTGTGGCCGTTTGCGGTCCGATACGCTGCGCATCAGCTCAACCTCTGGCCCCGAGTCTCCCTCCCGGAGACTTCTCCGACCCTGCGTTGGACGGGAGAGGCTGGCGATGCGTCGCGTTTTCGGGTCTGGGGATCCCGAGCTTTTGTTCGCGACACGTCCGCGGACAAGCTCTCCCGTCGCGCTGTCCCCTGTGTCTTCCTTGGCTTTGTCCCGGACGCCCCTGGTTGGCAGTTCTACCACGCCACCTCGCGTCGTGTCCTGGCCTCTCAGGACGTCACTTTTGACGAGTCCGTCCCCTACTACCGCCTCTTCCCCTACCGCACTGCCCCGCTTCCCCCCCCGCCTCTCTTCCTCGCTCCAGGTGCTGAGGTACCAGACCCCCTCCCCCCTCAGGGTGCCGCTCCCTCAGGTGTGTCCCAGGTAGACCCGGGTGAGCCTGTCGAGGTAGCTGTCGACTCTCGTCCTGCGTCTGGGGGTGCTGAGCCTGGGAGTGCTGGGTCTGGGGGTGCGGAGCCTGGGGGTGCTGAGCCTGGAGGTGCGGAGCCTGGAGGTGCGGAGCCTGGAGGTGCTGAGCCTGGGGGTGCTGAGTCTGGGGGTGCTGAGTCTTCGGGTGCTGAGCCTGAGCGTACTACACCTGGAGGAGCCCTCTCCTCCCGGCAGCTGCAGGAGAGGTACCTACAGTACTGCCGCCTCCGGAGAGGTGCTACTGGAGCTCGTACCAGTACTTCCCCTCCTGCCCAGGAGCTCCCCCCCATTCAGCAGATCCGAGAGTGGTACACGCGGCGCTGCAGTCTTTGGAGTGGTGCTCCTGGTGCTGCGGACCCTGGGGGTGGCGCTGCTACTGGTGCTGAGGACCCGGGCGTTGGAGCTGCTGCTAGTGCTGAGGACCCGAGCGGTGGAGCTGCTGCTGGTGCTGAGGACCCGGGCGTTGGAGCTGCTGCTGGTGCTGCGGACCCGAGCGGTGGCGCTGCTGCTGGTGCTGAGGACCCGGGCGTTGGAGCTGCTGCTGGAGCTGAGGACCCGGACGGTGGAGCTGCTGCTGGTGCTGAGGACCCGAGCGGTGGAGCTGCTGCTGGTGCTGAGGACCCGGACGTTGGAGCTGCTGCTGGTGCTGAGGACCCTGCCGCTGGTGTCTCTGCTGGTTCTGGAGACGCTGCGCGGCCGCGACCGTACTTCGTACCACTTCTTCAGCAGGTTCTTGGTCAGGCTCCTCCTCCTTGTCCTCCTCCCTCCGTAGAGTGTCCTCCGCCTGTCCAGTCGCAGTCACAGTTACCGCCTGCCTCGCCTCTCCCTGGTCCCTCTCCTTACACTGGTCCCACAGGAGGTCTTGCAGAGCGTCGTGAGCCTGAGTCTCGTCCTGCGTCGCCTGTTCGTACTGCTCACACTGGTCGTCGTGTCCCACGTGAGCGTCCTCCTCCTGTCCCTGGCACTCACTACATGACTCTGCGTCCCTCCACTGCTCCTCAGCGTGTCCCGCTGCCGTCTCCTCCTGCGTCCTCTCTGCCTACTCTTCCTGACCCGGAGTCTGACGCCCGTCGTGCTGCCAGTCCCACTGTCACCCGTCTTCTCGCCACTGTTGTCACTGACCCTACCTTTGAGTCCTCTGCTGCGTCTGCTCTGGTCACTGAGTTGATAGACTTTGCTGCCCGGTGTCGTCTAGACTATGCCGCTAGCCTTGTTGCTGAGTCTGAGTCTGTCTGTCCTCCGTCCGTCGGGGGTGTGTGTGCTCTTGGCACGGACGTCCTTGAGGACAGACAGGAGGAGTTCCAGTGCTTTGCTGCTTCTTTGCCCCATCTCGTGTCCATGCTAGTTGCCCCTGAGGGAGACCCGGATGCACCAGACATCCCGACCCCGCGCACTTACGCTGAGGCGATGGCGGGTCCCTACTCCTCTCAGTGGCAGACAGCCATGGACGCCGAGATGGCTTCCTGGAAGTCCACACGCACCTACGTCGACGAGGTTCCCCCTCCTGGGGCGAACATCGTCAGTGGCATGTGGATTTCAGGGTGAAGCGGCCGCCGGGTTCTCCTCCTGTCTTCAAGGCGCGCTATGTTGCTCGAGGCTTCAGTCAGCAAGAGGGAGTCGACTTCTTCCAGACCTTCTCCCCCACCCCGAAGATGACCACTCTTCGGGTTCTGCTGCACATAGCCGCCCACCGCGACTACGAGCTTCACTCACTTGACTTCAGCACTGCTTTCTTGCAGGGCAGCCTGCACGAGGAGATCTGGCTGCGCCGCCCTCCTGGCTTCACTGGGTCGGTTCCTCCTGGTACCCAGTGGAGGCTCCAGCGGCCGGTCTACGGTCTCCGCCAGGCACCGCGTGAGTGGCACGACACACTGAGGGCGACACTTGCGGCTCTTGGGTTCGCTCCCTCTACTGCTGACCCGTCACTGTTTCTACGCACAGACACCTCGCTGCCACCGTTCTACATCCTCGTGTACGTCGACGACTTGGTCTTTGCCACTGCTGACACTGCGGCACTCGCCCACGTGAAGTCGGAGCTGCAGAGGAGACACACGTGCACAGACTTGGGTGAACTGACGAGCTATCTTGGCTTGCGGATCACCCGGGACAGAGCACGGCGCACCATCACCTTGACTCAGTCACACATGGTGCAGCAGATCCTCCAGCGCTTCCGCTTCACGTACTCCTCGCCTCAGTCCACTCCTCTGCGTACCGGTCACTCGCTCTCAGCTCTGCCTTCGGATGAGTCCGTAGAGCCGAGTGGCCCGTATCCAGAGCTTGTGGGCTGCCTCATGTACCTGATGACCTGCACTCGACCTGACCTTGCATACCCTCTTAGCATCCTTGCACGCTATGTCGCTCCTGGCCGTCACAGGAAGGAGCACATGGATGCCGCTAAGAGGGTGTTGCGCTACTTGTGCAGTACGTCGGGCATGGGGCTAGTGCTTGGAGGGCGGGACCGAGTTGTACTCACAGGACACTCAGACGCTTCTTGGGCGGACGATCAGGCTACTCAGCGGTCGTCTCAGAGTTACACCTTCAGCCTTGGCTCTGGCTCAGTTTCTTGGCGTTCCACACGCTCTTCTTCTGTTCTCAGCTCCAGTTGTGAGGCTGAGATCTACGCCACAGCCATGGCTGCCCAGGAGCTACGCTGGCTGACCTACCTGCTGACCGACCTTGGAGAGCGGCCTCGTTCTCCTCCAGTGCTGTACGTCGACAACCAGGCTGCCATTGCCTTGTGTGAGGAGCACAGACTGGAGCACAGAACGAAGCATATTGCTCTGCGGTACTTCCTTGCTCGAGAGCTGCAGCAGCGCGGTCAGCTTTGTCTGCGTTACGTGGCCACTGAGGCCAACACTGCTGATGTGTTCACCAAGGCGCTTCAGCCTTGTGACCATCAGCGCTTCTGCACTCTGTTAGGCCTTGTGCCTACTGGACCTCACTTGCTTACTTCTTGACCCTGCTTGTACTGTGATCATTATATATATATACCTGCATGTTTACTCTTGCTAGGTTGTGATCACTGTATCTCTTGCTTTGTTATAAACCTGCATGTGAACTGGCCTTGTGGCCACCTGCTTGTACTCAGACTGTGTGGTGTCCTTGAGATCCACCCTGAGCTTTGTCTTGTTTGCTTTTCTGCTTGACTGGTCTTGTGACCACTGTTAGGTTTGGCTATCCCCCCTACTTCACCTATGGGGGTGTGTCAAATTATATGTTTCATATTATTTAGTTCTAGGTTGTGTAGGGGTGATTCTTAGAGGGTACAACAATTCTCTCGATACTCTTGTACCCCCCTCCCCTAACCTAATCGACATACTTTCCTCTCTAGTCTTGACAGTATGCGTATTTGAA